TGGCTTCTTCTGACAGGCTGACCCTGTCTGAATAACTATAATATTTCTAATTCAGCTGCTTACAACATTCCTCTTCTGAAGAAGTAGCCCAAACTACCATGACAGAAAATGAGTGGTTGTTGATACCAAAGACAGGGAAATCATTTTAGAGGAAGGATGCAGACCTCTATCTCTGGGTCAGATGAGATATGTGGAGTTATGCCACCAGGAGAACACAGAACAAAAGCCATATTCCATCTTGTTATTCTGGGAGGCTCAGCCTGAGACAGTGGAGAGAACTGACCTCTGGGTGATATCAGAAGGAGCTGTCTCCCAAAGCAGCACATTTAAGAACCAAAGACATTTAGCTGAAGGGAGGATCTCTGACCTTTTCTCTTCTCCCAGGTCTAGTTATCTTTTAGGTGTATAAGAAAAATACTTTAATGATAAGTTGTGGATTTTAAAACCTTTTCTGTAAAGTGCTGGGAAATCTTGTTCAGACTTTTTACTATCCCTTACAAACAGTGATTACTCTGCCAGCTATTTAAACATTCTTGGAATAGCTGTCACTCTTTAAAGAAGAAGACAGGTTTCCCCAGCATCTCTTTGCTGAATCCCCATTAAAGCCAAATGGCTGATGGAATGTTGACCAGAGCCAGCTGGATTCCTTTCTGGAGATGGATCTCTGGTTGTGTGGGCTGAAAGAAGCTGAGAACAACTGAGGGGACATGACCAGGGCTACAGGCTGGTGGATATTTAAGGGTTCTTTATTTATTTTCTGTATTGGGAAACAGCTCATATAACTTTGCATCTTGAAATGAAATTACAGTTGTCTTCATTTTAAGACTAGTGTGCACCAGAAGATGGCAGCACAGTAGCACATTTGGTCTTTGTTGCCTTCCCTTTACTAGTGCAGGCCATCATGACCTGCTGTTTCCCTGGTTTCTGATTTTAGCTGTAGTAAAAATGACATTACAATATTGTAATTCTTGTTTTTATTTAAGTTGACCACTTGGCATTTCTGTTTTTAATCTTTGTGACTAAGTCACTCTGATGTCCTTCTATTGGTTTGATTCCATTAATTTTATATTCCTGGGTTATGAGAAATACATTGTCAATTTAAATAACAACAAAAATATTTTTGACTCCTTTGTATTTAACATTAATTGGTGATACCTGAGATCTTTTTCTAAAGCAAGGTGAGGAATGAGTTTCCAACAACTTCAATGTCATGTGTGGTCCCTGGCTGGCCTGCTGTAACTCACACACACACAGTTCTCTACCTTTCTGATGGTGAGTAGTGTCACTAGAGGTAGGACAGTTTAAAATAACCACAGCATACCTTCCAAATTATTTTCTCCCAAATGTTCACCACTTTAACAGCAACTAGAAAAAACAAAGAAACAAACAAACAAACAAAAAAAAACCCACTTTGACCACTTTATGTGGTCAAAGAGGTGAACTGGGACTTTGTTTTATATAAAATTGCATATTCAGTGTCTAGAATACTCAAGATCTAGCACAGATATTTGAAAAATGTTTGTTAGATGAGTGAATAAGCAATTATGAAGTGGTTCCCTAGGATAATGCAGGTAGTGATGTCCAATAGGATTTTCTGTGATGCTAGAATAGTGGGCACTAGGCCTATGGGGATGTTTTGTGCTTGAAATAAGATTTGTGACAGAGAAAAAATTAATATATTTAATTTTAACTTATTTAGACCTAAATAACTTCATGTGGCTAGTGGTTCCCATGCTAGGTAATATGTGTTTTAATGCTCAGTGATGATATGCAAGGTTTTCTCTTTGCTGTGCCATTAATGGGTGATAGGCTGAGGTGTTCTGCCTCAGTTGAACTCAAGCCCCTTTCAAAGTGATATTTATGGGGCCGGGAATACAGCTCAGAGATCCCTGGTACGGAGGGGGGCGGAAGCTATGAGTGCGTTTGCCCTGGTGTGATTCCGTAGTGCCCGTCCATCGGTGGAGCAGTACTCATTAACTTCCGTCCGCGTTCTCTCCCACCTAAGTGCACGCACCACCACCACCGCTCCATGGAAGATTCGATGGACATGGACACGAGCTCACTGAGGCCCCAGAACTATCTCTTCGGTAGTGAACTAAAGTCTGACAAAGATTACCACTTTAAGATGGATAAAGATAAAAATGAGCACCAGTTGTCATTAAGAAGGGTCAGTTCAGGGGCTGGTGCAAAGGATGAATTGCACATTGTTGAGGCAGAGGCTATTAATTATGAAGGCAGTCAATTAAAGTAACATTGCAAACTTTGAGAATGTCTGTACAGGCAAGGATTTCCCTTGGGGGCTTTGAAATTACACCACCTGTTGTCTTAAGGTTGAAGTGTGGTTCAGGGCCTGTACATATTAGTGGACAGCATTTAGTAAGCTGTGGAAGAAGATGGAGTTGGAAGAGGGAGAGGAAGAAGATGTAAAACTCCCAAAGCGATCTGCCCTTGGAGGTGGTGACAAGGTTCCACAGAAAAAAAAGTAAAACTTGCTGCTGATGAAGACGACAAGGATGATGAGAACAAGGATGAGGATGATGAGGATGGTGAGAATGATGATTTTGATGATGAAGAAACTGAAGAGAAAGCTCCAATGAAGAAATCAATATGAGATACTCCAGCCAAAAATGCACAAAAATCAAACCAGAATGGAAAAGACTAAAACTTATCAATGCCAAGATCAAAAGGACAGGAATCCTTCAAGAAAGGGGAAACGATTCCTAAGACACTGAAAGGACCTAGTTCTGTAGAAGACATTAAAGCAAAAATGCAAGCAAGGATAGAAAAAGCACATTGAACAGTCCTGGGCACTACTGATAAATTAAGCCCAAAGAGGGAGAGAAATGAAGAGACAAATAATAGTCCATACTGAGTATCATCAACAATCCAGACTGAAGTCTTCTACTTTAATCTCAATCCTCTTTCCAGATTTGCCACTCACACCCTCTTCCAGGCTTGAAGGCATCTTTTTCTTAAAGCACTTTTTTCCCATTAACTGCTGTGATTCAATGAACCGTACATATTGTTATTATTTGTGCAAATGGCTCATCTCATTTTAATTACCTCTGTACTTCTAGATGCTCAATAAATATTTTGAGTAAAAAAACAAAAAAACTAAAAAGATATTTATTTATGAATTCTGAAGATATTAATTAGATGTATTAGACATTAATTAGCTATGTACAAAGATATTAATTAGATATAACTGAAGGTATAATTAACAATGCACAAATTATTTGTCTGTGGTAACTCACCCTTTCATGTCTTTTTTTTTCAAAATTTTATAGATAAACAGATAGCAATGAGACAGTTTCAAATCAAATCGGAAGTACAGATTCAACAAATAACACACTGCATATATTCTTCTTAGTGGTTAATTGCTGTACAAGATGCAGACTTGAGATCCTATTTACAAACACCATTAGAACAAATCATTCTATTCATTAAGAGAATGCAACTATATATCTATCCTAACCACTTTGAATACACAGACTTTCCATGTCTCTTCTTCTTACTTCCTCTGGTAAAGTACAGTTTTCAAATATCTTAGTATTGGCTAGGATTCTGTAGATATGAGTACATAATTTTTAACAATGACTACTTTCCTCCAGTTGTCCCCACCATGGTGGTTCTTCACTGCAGGTGATCTTGTTCCACATGGGAAATTTACCCATGTCTGGAGTCATTTTCAGTTGTTACAACCTTTTGGTATACTCTTGTCATCTACTTTATAGTGGAGAGAAATGTTGAAAGCAGTAGTCTCCTCCCCTTGCCAAGAACTATCTTTGACAAAATGTCAATAGCACAAAGATTGAGAAACCCTATGCTGTAATGTTGGCTCAGAGAGAGTAAGTTAGAACTTTCTGACATAAATAACTTTTAATATATACAATATTATAGGTAGGGTAAAAGAGATTTATTGTATATTGTAAATATATACAATATATAGGTAGGGTAAAAGAGATTTTCATTTATTGACCTATAAAAAGTTTATCAAATAGTTGTCTTATTAACTAATTAAATTATAAAAGAAGAAAATAAAAATTTAGATACACAGAATAAGTTTGTGTTTTAACACTGGTCTACAGTGAAGTATAGTACTAAAACCACAATTATATGCATTTGAAAATGACCATTTTGTCATAAAAATTAAGCTAATACAGGATATTTTCTTGATTCAGTTAAATTTTTTTATAAATAATAGCTTGAAAAAATGCCCATTTTTATAAAGTGTAAAGTCTTTGTCATAATCTTATATCAAATTGTTTATGATGATCTTGATTTATTTTGACGTCTCTTGTAAGTTGAATGTGAATTACTAATTTATATTTACTTATTATGCAGGTCCCTCAATTCTTGTGACGCTCATTGAAAGTAAAGCTTTAAATAAATGCATTACGATAAAAAAATGAAAAGTAAACTTTGACAGGGATTGAGACTCCTTTAACTTACAGATATGGAGCTCAAAGTTGCCCCTTCTCACTGAATATTTGCCTCTTTACATTTCAAATTAATGGCAAGGTCAAGTAACTTTGCTTTTAGATTTAAATACTGAAAGGTAATTTTACATGGTTCTGAGAAAAATTCTATGCTAAGTAATATTTAAAGTTCTCTTGTGGGGCCAGGGAGATAGTACAGTAGAATAAGTGCTTTCCTGGTAAGTGCAAGGGCTTGAGGTCAATCCCTGGTTCTGCCAAGAAAAGTAAAATAAAATGAAATAAATTTCTCTTGTTATCTAATTCCACTATTTATTTATTGCTTCAAAATATACACTAGTGTAACTTTTTAAAGAAATGAACACATGCACCATTTAGTACAGATATAAATAATAGCTATCAATCGGGGCCGGGGAGATGGCTCAGTGGAATAAGTGCTTCCCTGGCAAGTGCAAGGGCCTGAGTTCAATCCCAGTTATGCCAAAAAAAAAAAAAAAAACACCACCACCACCAACAAAAAAACCAGCTATCCTTAAGAGAGGTTACATGGACATCCAAGGGGAAGAGGCATAGACTTCCAGTCACGGTGCTTCTCAAGCTCCTTTCTGTATAGCACCGCCCATCCTTCTTGTTAGTACTGGCCAAAGGCAATCATTTGCACTTGTGTAGTCAGTGGAGCAACAAATCATGAAGAGGATTATTTGATGAGGAAAACAAAAACTGTGGAGCTATCATGGAAGCAACACATGCTCAGTCAAGGAAAGTCGAGACTGCCTAGCAGTAGAAGCTCTTCTGAGTAGGTAGCAGATTACACTAAATGAATGGTATCTAGCGGAGCCAGGGCAAGGAGCAAAGAGGCGATCAGAGGCACTGCAGGAGTGGCAGAGAATTGCGGAGCTGCTGTCTTCTGTGCTCACTGTCAGCAAAACAGTGCAGTGAGCTGAAGGAAAGTCTGCCTTCCCCACAGAAAGCGGAAGGCTGAACCGTGGGACAATATACACAGCAACACATAGCAAACTTAATGCGGGAGAGGTCACACCTGGTATTTACAGTTTGGATGTGGAGGTAGGTGTTGCATTAAATGTCAGTTTTAGATTTAATCCAGTCCCTATAATGAGTCACTTTGGTATAAAGTCCAGGCTTATTTTCTTTTCCACAGCCTATTCCCCAGCTCACTATTCCAATAATATACCAGATGTTTCGATCTTGTGCAATGACCAGAGGTCCTCCAGAATCACCCTGAAGAAAAAAAATGTGGTTCACTGATGAATAAAACAGCATAGAAATAAGAGTTAATAAGCATCTCCAGGTCTAGTAAATGAATGGTTTGCAGGCCTAATAAAATTTCTTTTAATTTACAAGTAGTACTAATATGCGTTTATTGCACATCAGTGAGTTTATTATATACTCCCTATAAATGTCTTCAGTAGGAAAGTCCTGTGAATGACAAGGCTTTTAGTTGTACCTTATTTTTTACATATATTTGGTACATGGTACACAGTCTCACTACGCAGCACAGACTGGTAATGAGCCTCCTGTTTTCAGCCTCCCCAGCACTGCGATTACAGGGGTATGCCACCATGCCCAGTCTCGGTGGCCAGAGTGGCATGTGATATTGGGGATTGAACCCCAGTCCCTGAACCTGCCTACGCAGGCACTTAGTCTGCTGAGCTATCTCACTGCCCCTAGTTTTACCTTTGTAAACTTTTTAGCTTTTCTCTACCTAAACAGAGATGAGGCAGCGAATTCTTGTACAGATGATTTCAGGACTGTTGACTCCTCCATGAGGTGTCTTTTAACTCTGTTAGCTGGAAATAATCTTTTGCTTTGCATTAGAATCTCACCTCATTCTGCTCCCACTAATTGGTGGAAGAGTGTCCTGGACATTGTAGCAAATTTGTGCTCAGAGGATTTTTGATCTCAAACTACGGTGAAATCCTTAGCCCTGGTAGATGAATTTCAAGTGTCTAAATCATGAAGACTTCCTTGTTACTGTCAGCCCAATGTTTAGACAAAGCCTAATTTAAAATTTACCTTTTGGCAATAGACCTATTCATATAAAAAAAGTATCGCATGAAAACCTATTACAGGTTTTAGGAGAAATAATCTCATTTGAATGTTCCTATGAGGGTCCTAGAGTCTTGAGGCTTTAGCTTTGCTCATCTTTCTGTCCTCTTCTTCCTTGTGATCTCTGGTGTTTGGTACAGGGTGAAAAGCCTGATCTATCAATGCCATCCTCCCTAGCTCCTGGCCTAAGGCCCACACCCTAATCTGATCCTCCTTGTCTTCCTGTGCTAAAGAGAAAGTGAGCAAGGGAGTGCTAGCCCAGGGAGGCAGGACAGCTGAGCCTAGGTAGGCTTTTTAAGTCATATGAATGAGCTGTAGTGCAGGCCCACTCACACTGTTTCTTCTCAAGACAGTGAGTGGAAGGATATCAGTATTCCAGAAAAGGTAGCCAAGTCCTCATTTTTCCTTTTGTTTCAGTTTCTTATGTGCCAATTAGATTGTAAATTTGTGGTGGATTGCTTCTTAGATACTGAAGTTTACTTCAGTATCTGACACACTGCCTTGCAATTCACAAAGCATTTGAGTAAATGAGTGAGGGGTTTATTATCTTCAGATGTCAACCAATGGTAGATCAATAGTGGTCCCTTCACATGTAAGGACAGTACACACAGATGCACAATTCTCAAAACCAAACTTCAAGGTAGTGCTAAATTGTTGTACCCAGTTTTAAATGCTAGGATGAAGTCTTCAATATTTTAGTTGTGTAACTTTAGTCCTCTTAATAGCCAGATTTTAGAACCAGTACTGTCCATAAACTTAATGCCTAAAATTACAATTTTGTGTCACAGGATGCTATTTATTCATTTGATTTTATTCAAGGCAAAGCCTGTGAAATAATACTTAAGAAAAAATAAGTATGTATAAATTTTTACTTCTTATGTTTTGTTTCAAATAGTTTACTTCTACTGACAGGACTCTACTTAAAAGTCGAATGTTTAGATACCATCAAGGCTCAGCTGTACTGGCCACAGAGAAACCTGCAGATTGTATCTCATGACAACTTTCTATTATCGGGGATTTAATACTCAAACTTTGGTTGACTATTCCCTGAATCACTGGTTGCATGGCTTCCTAGCTTCATTTCTACTATCTGTTTCCATTAGTTTAAGCAGGGCTCTCATTATAACTAATGACCATCTTTTAGGCTGTTCATTCATCGAGATATTAAATGAAGAGTATGTCTTATGGTTGGTTCTTCTCCACCTTTCTTTTCCATTTTTCTTTCTCTCCTGAAAGTGAGTTTCATCATGTGAAGAGATGCTGGCCTACGGCCATAAGACCATTTCTACTCAGCAGTCGTTTTTGTGATTGTGAGTCTACTCTTACCTCACAGGCATCTCGTTTTCCTGACAGGAACCCAGCGCATATCATTCCTGATGACACAGCACCACCATATACATGCACCTGATTACACACATCATTAGGTATGACCTCCACTTCAACTTGTCGGAGAGTATTTGGAAATGGACCTAAATAAGGGAAATGAACAGATGAATAACTTTCACCTTGTTGCTATGATAATTAGTTATTGTAGTTTCTTAGAAACGTTAGTGGCAAACATTAGCCTTGAAGTTGTAAAATTCTGGGGTGGATGACAATGTTCAGAATAAAGTTATATTTGGGGGTGCATTCTCTGTGTAGATACCAGAGAGATGCCATATTTATTCTTACTATATTATCTTATCTTTGTAGCAAGCACCAAACTGATGTGAATGTTTCCTTTTTCAGTTGAGAAAATTGAAACTTGTGGGACGAGTCTAAAGATGGTCATGTAGTTAAATAGGAGACAATGCTAGAATTAAGCCTTCCTGATCATCTGGGAGAGTCTACCTTGAATATCATACCTTACTTGGAAACCGAGTGTGCCATTTTACAAAGATATTTTCAGAATTGGGAATCCTGTAGGAAGAACAACACTAGTAGGAAGTAACTTTAATACTGATAGGATTTTATTACTTCATGAGAAAGACTATGTTTAATTTGAAAATAACTTGCTAACCAAACAACATCAGCATAAATAGAAATGCCAAAATAATAACTGGATTTTGTTTTATTTGTTTCTCACTATTGATTTATTCATTATATGAAATTTTTAGTTGCAGGTAGTATTGTTTTAGCCATTGTAGTATGCTCTCTTCCCCTTAATAGCTCCTAATTAGAAAACTGTGTCGACCATTCACATAAAGATATAGCTCTGTTTATAGTAAGTTCAAATTGAGGAGTTGAGCAATTCATTCAAGTGTGAATTTGAGCAAAAAGACAGGCCAAATCTGTGCTTAACTACCATGGTCTTAGAGATAGCAGGTACAAATCTGAGTACTAGCTACACAATTTAAGAACTACCTAACTTCATAAAAGTTGCCCCGAATCATTGTACTCACTTGTAGGGAGGAGGAAATGATGCATATCTCATATTTATTGTGAAAGTTAAAAATAATGAATAAAGTCATTTATGATAGTGTCTCACCCCATGCTTGGTTTTTGATGTAAGAGATGATTGAAGGTAAATGTTTATATTTAAAAATTGATGTGAAATTTTTATACAATGAAGTACTACTCAACTATACAGAAAGATAAACTCAGGGCTCTTATAGGTAAATGAATACAACTAGAGACCACACCCACAAGTGAAATAAATCAAACTCACATGTGTTAACATCATATTGTCTCCTGTGTACAAGAAAGTTAAAGAGTAAGATCTAAAAGATACAGAAGATCTAGCGAAAGGGAAAGAAGCTGCTCAGAAAGAAAGAACAACTGGGATGGTGGAAAAGAAAAAAGAAGAAAGGGAGAAAAAGCTACGTATATTACATAGGATAGCTAAGATAATCACAATACTGATTTCTATTACTTTAGTGAAAGGAATAGTTAGATGGTTTGATCAGTTTTAAATGCCTGTATTTGATAATCTGAGCAATAACTTTGAAGGTAACAATACAATATAATAACCACTGTTAATTTCCTATCAATTTGTTATGAAATTCTATATTGTTTTAATTTTTTTCTTTAAGATAAAAAAGGAAAAGAATAATAAAAATGTTAAAATAAAAGACACACTGTCAGTAATTCCTCCCAAAATGCTCCTTCTTGCTTTGAACACCCATATCCCGTCATCCTTGATGCTGTTTGATGCAGTTCTGAAAAATCTTCTTTTGTGAGTATCTTTATGAGGTGTGATTTAAAAAATATAGAAAATACTATTTCTGAATGTGATCCAATGGAAAGTCAAGCTCACAGAATTATTTCAGATTATCCTTTTGCTCCTTATTCTCAGCTCCAGGCTCATTTGACTTCTAGCTCTTCACCAAAATCCAAATGACCCTAAAAGGTTAAGGTTTTGAACCAGTTCAGGACATGGATGCAGCCACCAGAGTGAGAAAAAAACATTGTGGAAGAGGGCTTCCAGCACTGCTTCAAAAGGTGGCAAGAAAACAGGAGGAGTGTTTGAAGTGGTTGGTCTAATATTTTAGGGGAAATTAGGAATAATGTATCTTTTATTATAAAATGTAAACATTCGTCACAGCTTTTGATCACACTTTGTAAATGAAAGCTATTAGATTAATTGCAGCAATTAGGGTCATACATGTCAACTCCTTAAAACTGTACTTCAGTGTTACGTGGATAATGATAAAAAGCTTCAGAGGATAATATCTAGGTTTCTAGGGCTTTTATAAAGAAAGTTCAGTATAAAGAAGTCCAGTTTCCTGCTCTGAAACTGTTAACTTTACTCACCTTTCTGCTGAAAAACTAGCCCAAGCGCTCTATAATTTTTAAAGATTATCTAAGGTTGAGAGCACTTTACTTCAGTTATCATTTTTAAGCATAGAAGTGTCACTATTTTTTTGTCTTTCCATTTTTGATTCCACTTGAAATGTTACGAGTGATAGAATCTACTTACCATTGTACAGAGCACAAGACAATCTCAGTCTTATTAACATGCCTCGACAATGTTCTATTTTGCTTTCTGTAGGGACATTTAAAATTTTACACATTCCTCGGCTTTAATCAGCTGTAACTCAATTAGTTGTAGTTTTTACATACTCCTTTTATCTTGGTGAGATTAGGATGCTACTTTTAAATTTGTAAGTACTAGTAATACTTTAATCCCAACTTTAAAAAATCAATGCAAATGCTAACTATACAACAAGCTATTTTACATTTTCACTACTTAAAGAAGAAACTACCCAGAGAATAAAAACAAACTATTCCAAAACTAGCCATCCGTAATCTGAGGTTTTCTGAGGATCACAGGGTGAAGGCAACAAGTAGGCTGCCTGCTGACTGGTAAGAAGACTTCAAAGTAAATATCTTGGATGACTCTTGGGAAGACAAGACTTGAATAGTCTTGTATCAGTTTCAAAATGTAGCAGGAATCATCACTCAATATTTATTAATTAATCTCATTCTGATATCTTATAAATCCATAATGTTACTTCCCAAAAGCTTACAATTTGTTGGGGGAGACAGTTTATTGCACATGATCTACACGCTATATGTTGAAAAAAAAATCAGACAAAAACACCAAATTACTCTCAAATTACCAACCTGGGATGAAGAGGTATTACATTTAGTTAGACTTAGATGAAGTATGATGATGTTATTCAAGTGATAGATGCTTCTCATTTCTACTGTGATCAGGGAATAGTTTTAAAACTTAGAGGGCTTAACTCTCCTTCCTGGTTATTCCCATCCTTTACAGAACAATACAGATGCCCGGGATGAGGAAAACAACTTTGAGTTTACATCCATAGTGTGCAAGTCTGGATTCCATATAGTAGCAGAATTTTCAGGTACATGTTGGAAGGAAATAGACTTTTATAACAATCAACTGACAAGGGTCTGGGTAGATAGCTCAGTGGAATAAGCACTTCCCTGGCAAGTGTAAGGGCCTGAGTTCAATCCCTGGTAATGCAAAACAAAAGCAAAAATAATCAACTGACAAACCCTGAGTAGATCACAGCTCTGCTTTGAGTAGATACGTAAGTAAGATATAAATTCATATTAAGAGCCTAGGATAGAAATCAGGAATATAAAGGCTGATTAAACCATATATAAAATGTCTAACCAAAAAAACCAGGAATGGACACTAATGCAAGGACTTAATAATCTATGCTTGCTGTTTATTGCATGCTATTAAGTGTAAAATGCCATACTTTTCAACTATTTTTTAAGGTCTTGGGCTCAAGAACAGACTCATAGGTATATGGATCTGTGGGATCCTATTTAATACTTAGTGCCAAAGAAAGATGAGCCATTCAGATTGCTCCCTTGAGGCTGTTTGGTCAGTTGTAAGACTCTTCTGAAGTGTGTCCTCATGGGAGCTTGCAAAGCTTGTATTTTATGAATCAGCCAGCTGAGCAGAATCTCTATATATGAAAAAGAGCAGCTGAGTGAAACGTAAATGTACATCTTGGTTTTGCGTGTCATTTTATATTTTCATGCTAAAGAGGGTTTCTTTTCTTTTTCTTTTTAAAGAATATAAAATAGAGATATCAAGTAAAAAAGTGTTATAAATGGTATAAGATTTCACTAAACAAAGTAATAGGAATTCAACAATGCTTGCTGTGTTACATGATGCTATCTTCAAATTAGTCGTTCACTTTACCAGATAAGAATGTGTAAGATTCACTTAAAAAGTAATGACAAACAAGTTATAAGAAATTCAAAAGAGGAAAAAAATCAGAGTAAAAAAAAAATTAAGCATTAACTGCTCCTTTCAAAAGACCAGCAGAAACTGGTAATATAATTATTCATGCTATTCTACATATGTACCCAAATGTATCTTTTTCCCTTCTTATATTTGTCTTGTTCTCATCCTAGATTTTCCTTCCCATTGAACAGTTTCTTTCCCTTTCACAGTATCTGTTAACCTTTTAGATTTTAATTACTCTTTCAAGTTCTTGCACTAGTGGGATAATACGATGTTTGCGCATGTGGATCTGATTTACTTCACTTACCAATATAATCTCTAGCTGCATCCATTTATCTACAAAAGTCTTGAATTTATTTTTTATAGCTGAATAATACTCCATTGTGTAAAACTGCCATATCTTTTTATCCATTCCTCAGTTGATGGGCATCTGGGGTGTTTGCAAAATTTAGCTATGACAAATTATGCTGCTATAAACATGGGTGCACATCTATCGCTGTGGTATGATTTCAGTTCTTTTGGGAAAATAACTAGGAAGGGAGTAGCTGGCTCGAATGGACCTCCTCCAGTGCGAGCTTTTGAGGAATCTCCATAATGATTTCTATAATGGTTGTACCAACTGGAGGGCAAGTTTACTTTCTGAAAGTTTTCTTTCTTTTTTCTTTTTTTTTTTTTGGGTTTGTTTTAGCTGCCATACGTACCGCTTGCTCTTAGAGCCCCCCATCCAGTGACGAACACTTTACTCTTAGGCGGGACCTCAAAAGCCGCGTCCGGGAGGCAGACTCTGTGCACGTTTTCGGAGAACAGCACCGGAGCAGAGAGCTTCACCACAGCGATGTCGTCCTCGTGCTTGTGGGCAGCGTAATTTTCATGGATGATAATTGACTGCACCTTTCTTCTTATCAGCGGAGAGCGGAGGGTTGTTCCAAAGCTGGCCATCCATAGTTTAGGGTTTTTGTGACTGATAGCAGATGGGAAGGAACATAGTGGGTTTATTTCTGACTAACGCTGCCTGGAGCTCTGAGTGGGCAGAGGGCACGTGTACGCCAGGACAGCTTTTAACACGATATTGATGGAGACTTCCCTATCTTTTATTTGAAACCTTTCCCCAACGGCAGCTTCACCTTACACTAGTTAATGGCAGATTCACATCACAAAGTAGCTTATATTAGTCTTGTAGAAGCCATAATTTTTAAAGGAAATGTTATTAGGTTTTCCATTTTATTATAAAAATAGATATTAATTTAAGAAAATATGAGTATTATGCATATTTAACTACATGCGCTCACACGTATACACGGATACATTATAAGTGTATGTGTAACCATGGAGAGAAAGACAGGAGAAAGAGAGAAAAACAGAAATAGGATGATAAAATTAGAGGTGTGTTTTTTCATGCTTCCTCTTACTGGCATTTTATCCAGAATATTTTCTCATTTTATGTGAATTGTACTAAGCTTACTGCATCTCTTTAATATGTCCATGGATCTCACATGTCAAATCTTCAAAGAAAAAAAAGGCAAAAACAAAAAAATCAATAGAAATATAGCCCTGAAGATATTCACGTAGCATAATAACTTGTCTATAAATTGTAGGGTGAGGCATCGCTAACAGCTTTGAAAGCCCACATATATCTCAGAAGACCTGGCGCGCGCTTTGCAGTTGTGTCAGTGTTGGTTTGATCCTAGTTAAAAACTGAGACTGTTGGGCAGCACGTTGTAACATGGAGCTAGAGATAGGCTTGGTGTTTTCTACTGCTTTCCAGTAGGTGTCGCTATTTCCCTAAACCTATGCAAAACTGAGCGCCCCTCCTTGTGCGTGGTGCTTAAGCCGCTGAGCTATCTCCCCATCTCCTGGCCTACATGATTCTGGAAGGAAATAAGCAAAATCTGGGGCCGCTCAGCGAGAAGAAGGAGCGAGGTGCGCGGTGCAGCGGGGCTAGCGGACTCACGAGTCGAAGCAGTGCGCGGCAGTGAGGAGCCAGGCCTCGCTGATGAGGGAGGCCCCGCAGAAGTGGCCGCCGTCCACCTGCAGGCTGGCCTGCCACGGCCACGCGGCTGGCTCCGCGACCTGGCCACGGGCAATTCTTTCCGTGGGTGGGTACTCCATCCCTAAACCACAACCTGTCAGGAAGGAGTAAGACGGTTATTCACAAGGTTACGAACATGCTCAGGTACACTGGCCACGCAGGTAAGGATGGAAACTGTCTTGGTTGGTCCTTGGTCTTAAAAATTTGCTGAATTTAACAGTGTGTACAAAGGAGTAACAATTATTTGCACAGATGAGGTCTGATTATTCCAGTCTTCAACAATTAATCATATTAGATAATTCTTTGAGCATTTGAAGCAATTTCCCTTTAAAATTCGCTTTTGCCTTGTGTTGTGGGGTTGTGTTCTTGTGTACAGTAGATTACCTCAGCGATAGCTGACAGTTTTGAAGTCTGCTAGGTGTGTACTTTTTACTGCAGGAAAGTCACATTTTACACTTTTGAACTATTTCAAAATACATAGCACCAATATAACATAAGTTTTCGTGTGAAGATTCTGTATTGCAGTTAGTGGGTGTCATTCAGTTTCTGTGCCTTTGGAGCCAGGTACAAATGCATTTGATAAGACCCAAGACGATTATTGAAGGATTCATCACAAAACTTGCTTTGGGAAAGAAAATACTCTCACGTATTCTGTGTAAATATTCCCAATTTAAAATAACAGCCCCCCCCAACCCCTCTGCGGAGAACTGGATCACATGTTTGTGTAGACTTACTATGTACACTGGAAAAATTGTAAGCATGGGAGGAGAGAAACACTACAAGTGTTGGAGGTTGAGTTATGATTTATAAACATCTCCATAACATTCTTGCACTTACAGCTGTTCAGAAAATGCTCTGCTTGTGCTCCATTTACTTCTGGAAGAAAAAGCAAAAACATTATTAACTCTCAGCCATGAGACTACTTGAATTTAAAATACTATGCCTGCTTGACATAAATTTTTCTGGCTGGAAGAAAAATTCTCATTAGTCAAAAAAATTTTAAAGTCAATATAATCAAGTTCTATAAAAAGGAGAGTCCTATATGTAAATTCTGTCTGCCTCTGTCTCTCTGTCTCTGTCTGTCTCTGTCTGTCTCTGTCTGTCTCTGTCTCTGTCTCTGTCTCTGTCCTCTCTCTCTCTCTCTCTCTCTCTCTCTCTCTCTCTCTCTCTCTCTCTCTCACCAGGGATTGAACCCAGAGCCTTTGCATTTAGCTACATTCCCAGTTTTTTTCATTAATTTTTTATTTTGAGACAGGGCCTTCCTAAGTTGCTCAATGGCCCAGACTGAGCTCAAACTTGGTATTCTCCCGCTCAGTCCCCAGAGTGCTGGAACTACAGGTGCTTTTACTGCTCGCAGTAAATTACATTCTTCTGAATGTGTGGAGTACCTGGAAAATCTTGTGTGTGACTATAAAATCATTAGTGTGGACATGGGTTTTTTTGGCCTGAAGGGAGAAGCTGATAATAATTTACTGCACTATGCGGCAGGGACTGTAACAAATAGTATATGCTTATTATGTCTTCATGCTAATAATTGTAGTAGTGCTTAGTATTTGTTGAATCTTCCATGCATGAAAACATTCTGTATATTTGAAACAAAATCAACTACTTCATATATTTTTTTCATGTCTTTAAGTTTTGGACATGGTCTTGCTACGTAGTTCAGGCTGGCTTCAAACTCACAGTGATCATGCTCCAGCCTCCCAAATACTGGGATTACAGACATATACCATGACACCTGACTTTCTTGTTATTTTGTTTTAAACAACACAATATAACAAGTGTTTATGAGTACACAACACTTACAACACTTGTATTGGGTATTATAAATAATCCAGAGGTGATTTAAAATACACAGGAGGATGTGTATACATTATGCACAAATGTAACACCATTTTATATAGTATTTTATATAGTCTGGTTTTATATAGTACTTGATACAAAGGGATGACTATACTCTAAAAGTTATTATCAGGTAGCAGTAAAAGAGATCTGAAGGCTGGAAAGAAGATGAAATGACAAAACATTTCAAAATTTGAGGAAGGATATTTAGTAGCCTTGGGGCTTTCCTTTTATCTCACACAAAATCTGCATTGGAAACCAGAATGGCTTGTAAACTGTAACAATCAAGAAGCAAAGGTAAGATAATCCCCAGGAAAGTCTTCTCTGTGTATGCAAAGTACTGGGCAAGCTGAAGGATGACAGAGGCTAAGTAGGATGCTTGAACTCTTAGCTTAGAGTCAAAGCCTGGTAGCCTGTTCTCCTAGAAGTGTCAACAGGAATCCCTACACCCTCATGCTCCACTTTACAGCCAGCACTCTCTGGTAGCTTGAAATGTTGTCCAATCCAACATCAGCAGATGCCTGCATCTACCCAGTGCACCCTGATACAAGGCAGTCCAGAGAAACACTGTCTACTGCCCTGTATAGTACGGGAAGCAGGAGCTGAGAGGCAGCATCAGCAAACCAGAGCACTTGTTACTGAGGCAGCAAACACAGGCAAGTGTCTGCATTCCAAATCTAAATAGACTATTTACTAAATTGAAGAATTAAACATAATCAAGAGATTCCTAATAGAAGAACTAAAATATGCATGAGTTTAAAGAGCTTCCATAAATATAATTTAGAAACCAAGTATAATTCCTCTTAAAATAAATGAAAAATAGAAAATATCAACAAAGCAATAGAATAAAACATAACCATAGAAAATTATGAAACCTAAGGATATAATAACTAAAATATTGCATCTACTAGTACTACTAGTACTACTAGTTCTACTACTACTACTACTACTACTACTACTACTACTACTACTACTACAATAATAATACCAATAAACCAATTTTCTCAATAGTGTCAATAGTGTACCAGGGTGAAGATGATAATGGAGAGAAGCAGTAACTCAAAGACAATTCAGGAAAATTTACTCATTCTGAAAAACAGAGCAAAATAGACTAAAAATAAAATCAAAAAAGCCTCTGAGATCTGTGGATGCTAACAAAAAAATTAACATATCATCAAGTGTCTGGAAGTAGACTAAAGTGTGTGGTGCTAAAAAAGGAGTAAAAAATTCATGGTGAAACTTTTGTCAAAGTTGATGAAAGAGATCTACACATTCAAGAAACTGAGAAAACTCAGATGGAATAAGCTAAAGGAGATTTACATTAGACTCACCACATTTAAATTATTAAAAACTAAGGATAAAAGAATCTTAATAGAGAAAATGATACATTACCTATGAAAGAACATGATTTTAAAGACATAAGTTTTTCATCTTAAATTATAGAAGCCAAAAGGAAATAATATAGAAATTTCCAAGTTCTGAAAGAGTCCCCAGAATCCCATGGTAAGTGAAAAATATCACTGAGTTATAGAGAGAAGATACGTATATTCTAGGATGAAAATGTTAGGTGAGTACTTCGATACTAACACACCGGAAGGACAAAGGGTTTCCAAACAGCATTTCTTGACAGCTGAAGTTAAATGAAGAAAGAGACCTCAGTGTATGATACATGAATAATCCCTTGTTAGGTGTGAGAGCCAAACCTGCCCCTGGACACCCTGACTTGTTAACGTTGTGCACTGTGTGTGGTCATCATAATGCAGCGCTGCCCACTTCCACAGGTGCACAGCGTTCTTGGTGGCCAAGGTCTGCGGTCCAATGATATCAGGAAAGGAAACCTAATGTAAAGCCCCTTCTGCATTGGGCTGAGGCCTCACTTAGATTAGAGCTTTTTTTTTCTTTCTCCTAAATTTCTTGGTAATTTTCTTATATAGTTAAGGCCCCTTAGGGAACAATGATTTTCTGAAAAGAGCAAGGAGACAGTGGAATTCTAAAGGAACCTCTAAGGAGGATGTGGATAATCATACACTCCGTGTGGATGGGACAGTGGTAATCACCCCACTTCTCTAAACCACAGGGCTAACTTTTGCCTGCATAAAAAGATTCCCAAATACAGTTCCCCAGTGGCGATTCCTTCCTGGCCCTGCCTGCCTTCAAACTTGGAGATGTGACTCTCACCTGATTCACCATAATCTCTGCCTGTATTTCTACACACATATTGTGACCAAACTCCTTCACCCGAAACACAGAAGACCTAGGAGCAAAGGCTGTTCCTTGCAGTATCAGCATCCAGCTCCCCAGGAACAAAAGAGACCTAAAGGAATTTGTTTTTAACAGTCCTATTCTTAGTGGCAAACGGAAGCACTCCAAACAAAAACAAATGATAACAGAAGGAGATTTGAACAACAGAAAGGAAAGAAAGACACAGGATGGGTAAAAATGGAAATAAACCAAGCAGATGGCCTTTTACTTTCTAAATTTCTTCATACAACAGTCCCACTTATAACAACCACATTTGGGTTGAGGGTATTGCAAGGCAAAGAGCCAGTCCGTACAGTGTGTCAGGAGCATAGTGTAAGTTTTGATCTCGTGCAGACTCACTCATTTCAAACCATTCCACTAAGTTGTTTTTTAAAGAGAATAGATGCTACTATTTTTGCAAGGATACACTTCTTGTTTTAGAATAACTTCCCTGCTAGCTGAAGACACAGTCTTTGGTGCTGTGTAAGAATTTGCTTATTAACAAGTAATGGACATACTTTTAATAAAAAATCTTATTTTATGGTGCAATAAAGAATCTGTCTCAGTCAATGAGAAGATTCTTGAAATCATTAGCTATGAAAAGGAAGAAAAAAAAAGTACTTCTTGCCTCTGAGATAAGGTAATGAAGTATCTATCTTCAAAAAGCTCTCGGTGGATTTCAAATTCTTGTGCACAATCTCATCAGCTTGTCTCTTTATGTTGTTTGCATTCTTAGAGGTAGACTTAAATTTAAGCAGTATGTCTGCTTTCAAACCATGATTATTTGATCTATAAAACAATGTGAACAGAATGAGTGAGGTTATAGCCATATAAATTAATATGTTCTATATTAATTCTTAAATATTAATTGCATCATCAAAAAACAGCTGTAAATATTTTATAATTTTGTTCTGACTTTTCCCTTTCATGTACCACATAGGTTTATTTATGTTTTTGTTTCTACCATTTTAATGAACATTAAAGTCACCTGGAGGATTTGAGGAAACAGCCTCAGCAGCTTGGAAACAAGGCCCATGAATCTTCCTTTCTTTTTTGTGGAGGATTTTTTTTTATTCGTATATGTTTGCAATACATAATCATTACATTCACCTTGGGGCATTAGTATGTATACATAGTACACCTTAAATATTTCAGGTATAAAAGCCTGGATTAGGCTTTGCTTGTAAAACCTTGTCCTATCCTGAGAAGGATGAATGAGTGTCTGACAGCTCTAGAATTTGTTTTTTCTGGAAATTAATCAAAATTGTTAAATTCACTAATTTGTCTGTACCATATATATGAAAATATAGATTCTTGAATTTTAAAAATTCAAAAATGTAAAAAATATAGATGTTAGTAAGTTGAGATGTAAAATTGAAACATAATTAATGATTTAAGAATCTTTAATTGGAAAGTAAAAGTCTTTAAAGAGACAAATAGAATACATGGCCTTATTTCTCAAGAAGCTCTGCCACTATAAATACTCTGTACAGAAGGAATAACAATATAATGTCATTATGTTAGTTTTTTCTTGCTATGTCTAAAATCTTAGCTTCTGTTCACAAAGAAAATAAATGAAAAGTAACTAAATGATTCAAAATTTTAAAAATCATTCAGATGAATTAGTTGCGATTACCTAAAGTTGACAACGTGAGATTTGATATAATGATGTTTTAAACTGGATCTTTGAAATATCTTATTTATCTATAAAAAGAAAAAGAACACAACTTTGATGAAACAAAATTCACACATTTTAATATATCACACTGCTTAGAGCTTATTGAGATACAGATATCATTTACTTCAATCTTCATAGTTATCTTCCAAAAACTAATTCAAGCATAATCTTGTGGCCATAATGTCATTCCTATAATTGGTATTGATATCGAACAATTTTCTGGATGTTCAAGGTGAGCAATACAAAGAGTGAACATTTAGGTGTTCTGCCACCTATCATAAAAGTTAGGAGATGGAAGTGCAGAGATTTGAGTATTCTTGGAGGTCTATGTGTGGACTCGTTATTGAAGATATTTCAAACTCAATTCAGACTTATGGGTGTGATGGAGAAATGTTTTAACCTTTTTATAGATGAAGTTATGATTCTGTGGTAAATAGGGAAGAGGAGAAGAACCTGTATGTATTGGAGATCGCTCTTAAACCACTAACATCAAGAGAAATGCAAGAAATGATTGCTTAGAAAATGTCATCATCACTGTGTTTTTAGACTTCCTACAGTGGATAATACTTCTGTGATAAATGTTCCTAGATAATTTTTTTTTTTTTTTGGCGGAACCAGGGATTGAACTCAGGCCCTTGTGCTTGCCAGAGAAGTGCTTATTCCACTGAGCCATCTCCCTGACCCCCTAAAATTATTTCTTAATAAAACTGCAGCTGTAGTTCTGTAAGCCTGTGCACTGCCAATGACTCATTATCCACCAAACCTTGAGCTAGTCTCAGTCTGAGTATCTGGTTGCACAGACTGGTTGAGAAGAATGGCCAGGTCGTAAAGCACAGTGCACGCGGACTGCGTTCCATTCATCTAGGTTAATTTATGAATTTTTTATCAGTGAGACATCATGTGATACCATGGATTAGTTGGTGAAAAGTTTTATGGAAAAGGAAATAGTTGTTAAAATATAGCTGTGTATTTTACTTGTCATTGATTAGAAAGGAAAAAATGTAACAGTTTTTATACATATGTGTAATTCATATAACAAAACTAATATGGATACATGGTAAAGAAAACTTTTTAAAACAATCACTATAGGAATGTACAGTGAAAAGCCCTAAGGGCAATTCTAAATCACTGTTTAGAGCACCGCTAAGGGCTTTGAGTAATTGCATAAGGACTATGTGACTTACAAAGTTGGAAATATTTAGTATCTTTAGTGTTTTACAGTTCTCTGACTCCTGACATAAATGCAGGCACTTTCCTTTTTGATGTTATCTTCCCTGGCACTTGTGGGCAGGACCTATACTAATGAGTTGTTGATTTATTTTCTAGTCATCTGCTTGGTATTTTCATGGTCTTACCATGTGACACCCTTGGGAGAAACATCAGAAATACAAGAATTGGACTTAGCTATCTTAGCTGTATCTTCCATCTTTGTTAGGCATAAGTGAATTTGCAAGCTGGAGCAGACATGGGCATATACCATAATAATGTTGATACAAAGTATTTAGTGATTTAGCAGAGGATTATGAAGTTTTCAGGAAACCACTGGAAACAGATGGAAACATTTGTTCAATCATTCCTTTCCACACTTTTAAATAATTACATCTATTAATCCTCAAACTATCTCAAGAGATAAGTGACATTGTTTCTATTTTGTAGTTGAAAATTTGGATTCAAACCATTTTTTCATATTGTTAGGGTGACAAAAATAAACTGGAATATAAATTTAGATGTTTCCAACTCTAAAAGTTAGTTTGTCTCTAATTTAATGAATCACTGTAAAACCCGTAATGACCTTTAATCTGTCCTTCCTTCCTCAAATCAAGATTTCCCGTGGATGTTTTTGAAATATATGCATACCCCAGTCAGCACCGGCTTCTGCTTCTGATTGGGAAATGACAAAGGAAATAGTTTGAGCCTGGCTATGGTGCTCTGCCATCACCGACTGGGCAATGCTGGGCTCACCAGCAGCTATGTGCACAACGGAGGTCTTCAGCGAAGGATCTGGTCTGGGTGTGTGTATGTGATGTATTTTCAGGAGTGGATGTTTGGAGTTCAGTTTCCTAATGGGAAATGTGTTCGGGTTATATACAGATGTGTTCTAATTTAATGGTATGTGGTAATATCTCTTGTACCCAAATGGTTGAGTTGTTTGTAGACAACTCTAATGATTCATTCTGTGACTGAGCTATGGGTTTTTCTACAGGGCTTGTGTTTTTCTGTCTGGTAGATGATCTTCCATATAGTATATTTTTTCTGGACTTCTTGAGATAACATTGATAAGAATTGACAGATATAGCAAGTAAAAGCAAAGTTAATTTGAATCTCAGACAAACAATGAATGATTTTTTACTGTAAGTATGTTTCAAATGCTTCATGAAGATATTTTCAGGAGAAATAGAAATTACAATGTCATTGGGGTTATACATTGTATCAGGCAGCCCTCACAAGGATGCAATTAACTTGCTTTCAATTGCCTCTTATTACTCAAAAAATGGGAAAACAGGTATTTTTGAGTGAAGGCGGACCTATCTCTAATTCAGCGTGCTGCTGCTAGTAGAAAAGCTTCCTGTGCTGTGCTATGTTTTTTTTCCTCAACCAAAGTTTCGTGGGTAGTAATAGTGCCAGCAAATCTCACACTTACCTCATTATTGATCTTTTGTTTCAGGTCAGTTCTAGACTTTGAGTGTTCCACAGAAAAGTCAGGATTATAATCAATGCTGGGGATCTGGAGGGAAGCCTGGTAATAGTGAGTTGTCTGATCTGGAAGGAAGAACAGAAAGGGATGATTTCTGTTTAGTTCACCTAAGTTGTAGAAACATAAGAAGCAGAGGGGATAAAGAATGTTATTGGTATGGATGGAATGATCTGTCCCCCAGAGTGTCATGTGCTAGAAGCTTGGGTCCAGAGCAATGATACTAAAGGTATGTCTGTGGGGGTTAGGGGGTTAGTGGGAGATGACTAGGGCCCTGTGAAGAGAGAAATCTTGTCCACAGGAGTGGATTAGCTCCACAAAAGTGGATGTGTGCAGGAGCAAGCCCCTCCCCGTCTCTTGCGTCTTCTTGGGCTCTTAATCTTCCTTTCTCATCAGGCAGCCCTCTCCTCTATGATTCAGCCAGGCCCCTTTCTGGCAGCCCACACCCAGTCTACCCTCCAGAACTTGGCCAGATTAAGCTTACTTTCTTTCTAATCATGCAGCTTAAGGTGTCTGGTTATGGGAAGCCTAAACACCCTGTTAGTCACATAATTAGTGAACTCATAACATCTAAACATATAACAGCTGCGGTCAATATCTCCTGAGCTCCTTTTTAAGATCATGTCTTCCTAGTCACTGTGACTGTGACTGTCAGTCATAACTTGAGACAAATATTACCTGCTAGTGATTTAAGTATTAATGTATTTTCATAACTTCATCACTAAATTGGAATTTCTCTTTTTCTTTAATTTTTGTATTTTAAAGCGAATAAAAAATGGTAAAAAATTAGAAATGACACAGAATTTCTCTAAACAAAATTATACGAATTCAACAATGGTCGTTCTATTGTATAATGTTTTCTTCAGAATAGTTGTTTAGATTACCAGACATAAACATGCAAAATTGGTCAAAACCTGTGTATGTTTCCCTTCCTTCTTGTTTTTTTTCTTTTTTCCTCATCCCAGTTGTTCCTTCCCTATGAGCAGTTTCTTTCCCTTTGACAATATCTATTGTACCTTTCTGATTTTATTTACTCCTTGTTCTTACACTAGGGAGACAATTTGATGTTCACACATGCCAGTCTAATTTATTTTACTTATGAGTATGGTCTCTAATTGTATCCATTTGCCTATAACAGCCTTGAGTTTCTCCTGCTTTATAGCTGAGTAATACTCTATTGTATAAAAATGCCACATCTTTTTATCTGTTCCTCAGTTGATGGACATTTGAGTTGTTTCCAAGACTTAGCTATTGCAAATTGTGCTGCTAGAAACATGGGTGCACATATATCACTGTGATATGATGTTTTAAGTTCTGGAAAAATACCCCAGAAGGGAATCGCTGGGTCTAATGGGACTTCTAATCCTAGTTTTTATCTAGAATATATAAAGAGCTAAAGAAACTTACCCCCCTAATTCAAAGAAGCAATCAAAAAATGTGTATCTGAGATCAATACACACTTCTCAGAGGAAGAATTACAAATGACAAATAAATGTATGAAAAAATATTCAATGTCATTGGCCATTTGCAAAGTGCAAATTAAAACAACACTGAGATTTCTTCTCACCCCAGAAATCATGGATATCATCAAGAAGTCAATCAACAACAAATGCTGGAGGGTATGTGGGGAAACTTCTCCCCTATTTGTGGCAGTGTAGACTAGTACAACCACAATGGAAATCCGTGCGGAGATTTCTAGAAGTTAGAAATTCTACTGAAACAATTCTTGCTCTTAGGTTAGGGAATATTATTATGCCATAAATAATGTAGTATGTGAATTTATTATTTTTAAGAAATATTATATGAACCATTCAAAATTTTCAATGCTAGAAATAATATTTATTCATGAAAATTTATCTCTTAAGTATATGCAATTTATTTGAAGGAAAATTTTATTCTGAAATACTACAAAATATTAAGACTTCAAAATGTTTTTGTCTCCAAATTTACAAAGTAATACAATGAGATACATACTTACCATATTCTAAAAAATAAACAAGGAGGCCAATAATTATTGCCAGAGCCAACACAATGGCTGTAGTAATTAAGGCAATCACCCATGGTTTCACTGAATGTCTTCTTCTCTCCAATATACCTGGCCTGTTGAGAGAGAGATACATATTAAAAAGAAATAGGACTTGAAGATGAACTGATCTCTTTAATGTAGAACTTTTTTCTGGAGTTCTTAGCTCATATTGCACTTGCCAAATGCTTCTGTTCGTAAACCAAATTGTTTGCAAACAAAAGCATTCAAGAACTGAGGCATCATGATATTTTTTAATTAAAAAAAATCTTTATTTATTTGGTACAGGGTCTCACTATGCAGTTCAGACTCATAGTGATCCTCCTGTCTCGGCCTCACCAGTTCTGGGATTACAGGTATGCGGCACCACACTGTTTTGGTGGCCAGCACCGAGGCACAGCATGCGGTACTGGGGATCCAAATTGGGTCTTTGCGCTTGCCAGGGAGGTGCTTAGACTGCTGATCTGTCTCTCCAGCCCTGCACTATGGTATTTTTAACATGTTTTGTATGGAATATTGAAACAAAGATCAAAAATTGAATTGGGGACCGGTGAGATAGCTCCACAGACTGAGCACCTGCTTTGGCAAGTGCAGGAACCAGGGTTCAATCCCTGGACTAGCAGCCTGTGCCAGCCCTGCCCCCAGGGCATGCTGAGCAGGTAAAGGAGTCTGGTCACGGTGGTTCACGCCTGTAATCTCAGCGCTGGGGAGGCTGAAAACAGGAGGATCACTATGAGTCTGAGCTGTGTATTGAGACCCTGTACCAAATACATACATGAAAAAAAGAAAGAAGAAAAACAAAATATTGAATTGACACTCTATTTTTTCAGTTGACAACTATTTTATATGTTTTCTGATTGATAATAATAGGTGTTCTGAGAAAAAAAACAGTTTTTGTAAGCAATTTGATATAATTTTCCTGTGTTTCAGATTACAATAAATCTCAGAAAATGAGAAATTTTGATTATTTTTCTCATCCTAACAAGAACAGTGATTCAGAGACTACATTGTCAAAACCTTAAAGATAGGTATTGAGAGACATAGAACAAGAAATAGTCCTTGAGCTGCTGAACAGTATTCCTCCACCTTTATACTTAAAACTGTAACTAATTCCCATTTAGAGAATGTGCAGTCTGTCATGATGTGAAAAAATATATGAAGTAGGGCAGAGTCAAGAAACTAAAGTAGAAGATAAATAAAATTAATTAGCATGACCAGGAAAAGACAATGTGATGAAGAAACAAATGATCATAACACAGGACTTTTAACCCAGCAATTCTGGATGATACAGTAAGAATCTATTATACAATGTTGCAATATTTCAAGTCTATCATTTTTACAGATGACATTACATAGGATAAAATGTTTGAGTAAATAGAAAACCAATTTAAAGAAAAATATTAAGACTTCACTACTAACAGTGGAATATATATGTGGTAAAATTCATGGAAGTGCTGTGTGAATGACTGACAAATGAAAAGCCATTGTGGAAACATGGTAATACGACAGTGTGCTGCCCATTCTCAGTGACAGCCCACAGTCTAGAGACAAGATGCAAATGAACAGTTAAAGTTGAGACAGACTGGGAGAGTGCTGACATGGGTGGTTCAGAGATATCTATTTCATGGAGGTTCTCAGCAGGAATTTTGTTCACAGAGTTCAAGGTGCTGGTTCTTATTCTGTCAAAATTAGATGTGAAGAAGAAGGACTTGTCTTTCTGGGCAGTTGTACCTGGCTGTGAAGAAGTGGACAGTGGGCCCTCACTTGACACAGAATTGAGGAGGTCAGGTGAGTCACCCTTATGGGCAGCAGTGATCTGGTAGGGCTGAGGGTGCCCTGGTATCCCTGGGTCTGGGCAAAGGAGAATTTTGAGGAAGTTTCCTACCCCCAAATGATCAACTTTCAAGTGGCACCAATTCTAAGTTGGGTTTCTGAAGTGATATAGTCACTCTGACTTGCTGCTACTTAATTGGTGGTGGGAGAAGAGCACCACAGCCTGTAATACCAGAAATATCTTTAGAAGCACAGGGCACAGACAAGAATTGACAGCATACTCATCTCCATTATTAATAAAGGGCTACAGCAATTATGAACTCATTCAGTGACATTTATTGAGGACCTTCTACTAGAAGTAATTATCTACTAGAGGTAAAACAATGATGAAGTCATGGTCTCCTATTTTTAGGGATCTATGTCTACAGACATATGAGGTAACTACTGTAATACAGTTAACTACACATCATGATGGAGTCATGCCCCAGATTTAAACTATGCCCACATTTTTAATTAAGCTGGCTATATTTTTCTCACTATCTTTCTTTGAGTCAGATATAGAAAATAATTCATAGTGATGACTTGGTTTCCAACGAAATTTTCAGCTGCAAAAGAATGTACTTAACTATGGAACTATTGTTCTGCTCACATCAGAACCTTCACTATGACTGACTTACAGTCTTATGTAGTGCCATGACTAAGAAATTCTTTTAGCTTGTTTCCTTAGCCATGTAGGTACACTCCAAAATACTTATCTCTAAATTATTATTTTCTTTAAATGAATTCTTTTTCTCCCTGTTTCTTTTAGTACTAATTTCAATTTTAACTTAGATAGTGACAAATTCCCATGCCATCTTTAGACAAGTGAAAGCCTGTGCCTCATGAGCACTTGGCAAATGTTTGCAAAATAAGAGAATATGTCATAAAGCAGGAAACTGTTCTAAATCATCTGCAACACGAACTGTTTTGCTGGAGATGAATTTCTTTGTCCATGGAAAGAGGAGAAATAATACCTGGTGTCAAGATAAATTACAATTTTTGCTCTTAAATTTGCTGAATGACAATTCTCCAGTTCCTTCTTGAATTCTCCCTTCCTTGTTCCTTACAACTGAGAGAATTTAACTTAGGGCAGACCACCCCAGTAGGTGGACTGAACTGGTGCCCTGCAGTGTAGGGAAATCAAGTCATAGAAATCTATTGAGCAAACTAAAGGAAAAAGCCCTAACTGACCGATCCTTACAGTATTGACACCACCAGGAAGGTGAGTGGTGACAAGAGCTATCCATCCATCAAGTCCACATAGATAGTCTTCCACAGAGAGATAGAACATTTTTGAGGGGCACCTTCTACCTTCATTTAAATCTAGAGTGCTCTTTCTTTAGCTCATGAGCAGATGCTTCCTGAGAAATAATTCTTATCAGAACAGAAAGAACTCTTCTTCCTTTTCCACATCACATATCATATTTCTTTCAATGTCATCATCTTTTACCAAAGTGCATGTTCAGATCCTGCCATCTTAAATCTCCTAGCATATGTGGATTTTCCTGGAGATTTTCAAGTACTTTAGCTACAATGCAGTTGCTCAGTAATTTAAAAAATGAACAATAAAGGATTTCTTTCTACCGGCTCTAAAGGAGGCTGTCTGGCACAGTGGTGTCCTGTGTGAAGCGCTGACATGATCTTGCCTGAATTCTTATCCTGGCTCTCCCACTGTTGGGCCTTGGGCCTGCATTCATCCTCCATGCATGCACTTTGGCTTGTTCCCCAGTGAAATGGGAGCAATAATATCTCCTGTGGGATCATCACAAAGAATGAATTAATTAATAGTTTAACTATGAGAAAACTTATAGCAATAACTGAAATGGTAACAACTTTGGAATTCTGTTTATTTTAGTATTATTTTTTGCAGGCAGTCCAATTTTTCAAAAGTAGCTGAGAAGTAATACCGTGGTAGTCTGCACCCAGTGTGGTGCAATTTGCTGGTGGGTGGATTTTACTGGATGGTAGTTATGCTGCTCATGAATGTACCTGGGTGAGAACTTGTACCCGGGACTGGGGAACCCGAGAAGCAACCTGAGTACAAACTCTGACCAGACTGAGAGTTAAATGGAGAACCTAACAAAGCCCCTTGTGCCCAGGGCATGTTCCCACAGACACAAGAGACTCCAGGCTTGAGGGAAGAGGAAAACCATGGCCTGCAAGAGAAGCCCCAGGCTGAGAAGCAGGTGTCCTGTGGTGGACACGTCTTGGAGCATCCATGAAGAAAGAGTTGCCGGGCAATGATAAGAAACATGGTAAAATGAGAAATGAGGTGGGTGGAAATGAGGAGGTTTTTACTTCATTGACTTGAAAAGAGGAAGTAACTGGGAAAATACCAGCAGGAGGGAGAGTTATTATTCATGGTCACAGTGACTTAGTAATGGTCAGCATTCTGATTACACTGCCAGACACAAAGGGACTTGCATGAAGTTGGTGATGTGAGCACAAATGCTAGACGTCTGTGATAGATTAAAGGAGATTTGGGCTTTCTGTTTCATGCTCTGACAAACTGTGTGTCTTGTTTTTATAACCTTATGGAATATAAATAAGAAAGACATGAGGTTTCATAACTAGAATGCTAACTCATGTCATAATTAAAATATGATTAACTAGCATTTTAATAGCTAAAAGTTTAAAAAGAAATAATCAAAGTCAGAGAAAGTTTTCCTTTAAGGCTTTAAGTTTATTTGAATTCCCATGAGAAAAGTATTTCTTGGAGAAAATTTGTATTATTGAGATAATTAAAACCTGATAAGGACCAAGAACATTATACAGAGCCCAACAGAGAGCATTGGAGGTAGCAAGCTGGGCTGGGGGCACCTCACCTTCACTTCTGCTTGCCTGTCTTCCTTCCTTCCTTCCTTCCTTCCTTCCTTCCTTCCTTCCTTCCTTCCTTCCTTCCTTCCTTCCTTTCTTTCTTTCTTTCTTTCTTTCTCTCTTTCTTTCTTTCTTTCTTTCTTTCTCTTCTTCTGCTTTTGTTTTACTCATTATTTGAATTAAGCATCATCTGTCATTGATCATCTCTCTTTCTTCAGTCCCTTAACATCAAATTTTGACCTTAAGATAGTAGGGCTAGTTTTGAAAGTTGAAACATAAACAAATGCATTATCTAGATTTTTTTTTCTGATGAATGAGTCCTTCTGTCACTATGCCTGATCACCTGGAAATAGTTTTCATTTGAAAGATAAATTTGAAGTTTAACCAGAATTTTGAAAATTAATCAGCATCTTCCTTGAGTTGGAAAAGGCTATTTGGAATGGCTGGA